TGGAATAGGATGTATGGAAGACACAAACTTGTATCGCCCATTTGTATTGAAATATGTAAACAAAACAACAAATAAAAAGATATTTATCGGTGAAAGCCAGAAAACATGTATTTTCTTGGGGCCAGAGAGATGGAGCAGCAATTTAGAAAGCTTGCTGTTTTCACAGAGGACCTGAGTTCAATTCCCAGTGCCCACATTGGTCTGCTCACATCCACCTGGATTTTCAGCTCTAGGGGATCTGACTCCCCCTGCTGGTCTATCTGGCCATATGAGCGAGCATGTGCACTAGCGCAGTGTGCGCCTGTGCAGACCCGCACACCTAAAGAATATGCCCTACACTAGTGACCTATTGTTATATTTGTCTACCAGAGTTTTACATTCTATTTGATAGCTGTTAAAACAATATCCCCTTATAACTCCTCCATGTCCGAGATCCTTCCCCAATATTTATTTACCCAGATATACCTTATGATGATTTTGTCACCGTTTACCTCACTCCATTCCAAAAATCCTTCCAAGTTTTGATGTAGATTTATGCATACATAAGTTGGAGCTAGGCGATATCTTGCAGTGTTGAGACTTCCTGTCCAGGAACGTATGAGGTTTCCATTCATAAACATCTTCTGTCATGTCTCTTAGTGAGGCTTTATTGTTTTCTTTATACGGACTTTGTCATTTCCTATTATGCTTGTGATTAGCATACACCTCATACCTACTTATCAATAGTATGAACATAATTTCCTACCGTACATTCTGAATGGTAGTCACTAATATTACATGTTGTGTACAGGACGTCTATAGCATTGTCTTTCTGCCTTCTATCCTCCTACAAACTGAGACGTAGAGGAAAAGGAAATGGGACATAAAAATCTTACCCTTGTTGCTGCTGCCAAAAGTGTCTGGGAAGTGCGAGTGTTACTCTGGAGCCAAATTCATTTCTGTAGTTTCGGGAATAATGGGACAGTGATATGCCCATGCCTCAGAAACAGATCTGCTCAATAGTGAAAGCTTATGGAAAAAAAATTCTGTCTGCAGTCAATTCAGATCCAAAACAGAACTCAGAGCCATCTGCTCTTGTTTTAATCCCTTCACCAGCTCACTAACTCTGCCAACCTACTTCTCCTCTGGTCCCCAACTAGGGTGGAGAGGCTGGAAGTCTCTCCCTGTAGGAGAGAAAGCCAACCACTGTTTTTGGTGTTTATCTTACGATGGTCCACCTTAAGAAGTCTGTGACGTTTTAAGTTGATGCGTTTGAGCTTTTCTCTTAGGGAAACAAGCCATGACCAAATCACAAAATGTTTTCTTCGTCTCCTTTATCACTCTCAATTACTTCTCTTGTTTTATTGCATTCCTTTTAATAACACATTCCAGTGCTCTTGTTTCCGACTTCAGTGAGAACACACTCAGTGTTTTGCCATTAGATGTGTATGTTGATGGCTTCTGATAGATTAACTTTGCCATGTTAAGAGGCATAAATGTGGCCAGGTGTGGTGACTCACACACGGTCTTTAGTCCCGGCACGCAGGAAGCAGAAAAGGATGGCTCTCTGTGAGTCTGAGGTCAGCCTTGTCTACAAAGAGAGTTCAAGGCTAGCCAGAGCTACAAAATGAGACCCTGTTTCAAAAGACCAAAACCGCCACAACAAAAAATATTTGAATTTTTTTCTAGTTTTCTGTTTTGCTTTAACAAGCCATTGGTATTGAGATTCATTAAGTACTTTAAAAGTATCCATTCTGGGATTGGAAAGATGACTCGGGCTAAGAACGCCTGTTGCTCTTACAGAGGACCAGGGTTTTGTTCCCAGCACCCACATAGTGGCCCACAACTATCTTTAACTTCAATTCCATGTATCTAATTCCTTCTCCTGGCCTCCATTGGCATGGTACACATGTACTGCACATACATACATGCAGACAAAACATGCACACAAAATAAAAATACATCTAAAAATTGACAGTATTTATCCTATTGATATATCTATTTTTAAAATCAGTGCAATGAATTATAAATACATACAATATCTATCTATCTATCTATCTATCTATCTATCTATCTATCTATCTATCTATCTA